TAGCTTGGGAGGAAGTTGCTTTTAATTTTGTTAATCTGTGCACCTTTCTAATGCTTCAGTCAGGCCTTTTCTCTTTGCTACCTCCTTTAAAGCAAAAACAATAAATTTGGAGCTGTCACCCATATGTCAGCCTTATAAAGACCACCATTTTGTGACAGGAAATTTGTTAGCTCAGTGTTTCAGAAAATTAATAGAATTTATTAGCAGTATCACTAGATTTTTTTTCTTCTTTTTGGCATATATTGGTACACCAAAAGTTAGCATCTTTTAATGTTGTATGAAATGTTGACTTCGAGTTGTTTGAGCAGGTATTTTGAAGTGCTTTTGATTTTGGCTGCATGAAGAATCAGATCTATTGAAATCATCTTCCTTATGAAGGACTGTCTTCTAGAATTCATATATATATATATATTCATATTCTAGAAGACAGTCCATATATATATATACATATGAATTCTAGAAGACAGTCCATATATATATATATATGAATTCTAGAAGACAGATATATATGTATATATTATATATATATAATATATATATGATATCATTTGAAGAATGTTTTTACATTTATGTTTTAGCAACTAGAGCTGATCAGTGTTGATGACAGCCCACATGGTTTTGTCTGCTTTTTAATGTAGTCTTGGCCCTGGCTGGGGTCTTCACTGTCAAGTTGAGAGTACTGAGCCAGTCCCAGGCCAGCTGCAGTTACCCCTGCTGAGAACTGACCATACTGAGGGGTCTGGCCTTGCGTGTGATTTCTGCTTGCTTTTTACTAACTCACCTGCCCACCGTCCACAGCAAATGCAACCTCTTTAACATTCTAGTAAGAGCCAGGAAGATAGGCTCCCCAGAACCCTCTTTGACTGAATGGATTTTTCATTGTTTTTCTTAAATGCCTTCGCTTCAGAGGCTATCAACTGCTTAAATGCAGCCATCGACATTTACACAGACATGGTAAGACACTGCCTTGCTTGAGCGGCTATGGGGTGGAATCCTGGAGATGGCTTACAGTTGTACTTTTGTCATTGTTTTTTGCTTCCCAAAGGGATTGACATTCAAAGTGGTAAAAGCAGAATGTGACTGTATTTTTGTTTTTTTTTTTCCCCAGGGAAGGTTTACAATTGCAGCCAAGCACCACATCACCATTGCGGAGATCTACGAGACTGAACTGGTAGACATTGAGAAGGTAAGCCAGGTCACAGTTCCTCCACAGCTGGGTACGAGGCAGGTGGATGACATGACTCTGGGAGCCCTCTCCCTTCCAGCAGAGTTAAGTGGTACAGCGCCATTGAGATGGCTTCATATGGAGGGTGGGGGGCCTGACAGACTGAAGACTAGATGGGCCTCTTTTGGGGTGAGCGCGTGGCCTCTGAGAGCCGGGTAAGGTTTACCAGGCCTTCCTGTTATCTCTGCTCTGGGTGACTCATGTCAGGATGGTGGTGTTAGCAGAAGTCTTTCTCTTGGTCACCAAGGCCTCTGTGGCCCTGTGAAGGAAGCTTCAGGACTGCAGGCATCTTCACACCTTTATATTCAGGCCCTGACCTGGAGGAGGAAGGGAGCTGAATGCCAGCTTGGCCACACCTGGTCTGGTTTGCTGAGCTCTGGTTTATAGTAGCAAAAGAAGAGAGGCAGGAGAAAATGCTCACTGAGCACCACTCTTGCCCAGGTTCTGTTCCTGCTGGCATGCTGTGGATTTAACTGCTTTCCAGCTTTACAACACAGAGGTCCCTTTATGGGTGTAGGAGTTTGGACTTGGAAGGACTGCTCTGCCTGGAACCACTTAGGTTGGAACCAGCGGAGCTGAGGCCAAGCTGGCCCCAGCACGCAGCTTCCTCCTGTTTCATACTGTCTTCTCAGTCAGGAGATGGCTGGCAGGGCTCAAGGTACCTCGGCAAGAGAAAGACATTTGTCAGACTCCAGAGGCTACCGCAGTTCTGGAGACAGATGTTTGTGTAACACTGTCCTAAGTACTGTAGAAGGAAGACAGGAGGTGTGAGTGAGAAGGACAAACAGTAGTGGAGTCCATTGGTTGTTCCTGCCAGGCTGATGAGCACCAGGCATGCTCTTAGGAGTACAGTTGTGTCCTATCTGAATAGTCAGAGCACTCCTTGAGCTGCTCTGGCATCAGACAGGCGTCCCTCTTCCTCTCTTTTGTCTCATGGTTTCTCTCAACCTCTGGCACATGTGCCTAATGGTGCCTCCTCTTCTCCCCACCCTCTCATGTGGGGCACCCGGGGTTGACTCCTTGTCTTCCCTCACTCCACATTGCTCCCTTGGTACTCTCTGTGCACTCAGCATCATAGCTTTACAGATCATCTGTATGCCAGTGGCTCACAAGTCCATCTGCAGTCCGCACCTCTCTCTACACCTCAGATTCTACCCTTCTGTCTGTGACCATCACCTCCAACCCAGTGTGTCTGAGTCAGAATTCTGATACCCCACCATGATGTTCTGCTCCAAACCATAGGCATCCCTGCCTTCTCCTTTTCTGTACATCCAGCCTATAGGCGATTTCTCTGATGGTGTCCTCCATGCTCCCACATCTGGGCACCTCTCAGTACCTTGGCAGCTTTCCCTGGATCTCTGCAAAGAGCCTCCAAATTGGCCTCCCTTCTTTTCCTGCTGGAGTTCTGAGTCCTGGGCATAGGGTCCTCATCACCCCTTCTTTTGGATTCACCTATTCTGTTTCTGTGCATTTTCTTAGGGAAAGGGGGCTTTATACTGACAAATAGCATGTTGACCAAAATTCCAGGGGACCATCAAGAGGGTAGGTGTAATATGGTAGCAAGTTAGCAAGATGGACACTGTTGCCAGCGTAAGAAATTTCCTCCTGATACGAAATGATAATTTCATATATATTGCACTGGTTTTGATGCTGTCAATAATAGTGACCCTCTACCCCAGTGTAAGGATTGCCAGAGCAATCCTTGTCAAAAGTACATCAGATTGTGTCTCTACTGCTTACCACCTGATGTTGCCTCCTCTTCACCCAAAGGAATAGCCTTGGAGATGGACTCTGAGGCCCCACTGATCTGCCTCTTCACCCGTTTGCCTCTCTGAACTTTCCTCTTGCTCTGCCTCACCGTTCTCCCCCATGCTATACCATGCTGTGGCCACCATGGCCTCTTTGCTGATCTTCACACATGCCAGATGAGCTCCTATCTCAGGACCTTTGTACTGCTGTTTCCTCTGTGGGGCTTTTCCACAGATGCCTACCTGGCTAACTCCCACTTGTCCTTCAAATTTTTGCTCATTTGTTACCTTTTCCATGAGACTTATCATGACCACCTAGTTAAAATTGGAACCCCGGCCTGTCACGAATACATACCCAGACACCTCCCCCACCTTAGCTTTTTCTTTTTTTGCAGCACACTTATTGCCTTACATCATATGCTACAAATGCTTGCTCATCATTCCTGTTATTCATCATCTTTCCCTACACTAGAGTGGGTGCCTATATCTGCACAGAGCTTTGCCTCTGGTTTACTGATGCATCCCAAGAACCCAGAACTCTGATAAATAAGCAGATAATGTACCCATCTCTGCCATAGCAGCGTACTTACCAAAGCACATAGAATCTTGGTGGGGGAGTTGTCTCTTACTGCTAAAGTCGGATTGGTATTGTTAACCTTTGCCCCCTGACTTCATGCTAAGCACTACCTTGTAGCTCTGCAGCACAAAATTCACTGACTTATACACAGAATTCATGATTTGGCCATTTTTTGTCATAATATGCCATGGTTTTCTAAGAATACTTTGCTTGTGACTAAATCAGGGCCACTGAGTGTGTTGCATGTGCCCCTTTTCATTGGGGAAGCTATCTGTAGACTCTGGAGAGGGTGAGGAGACCCAAACCTGAACCCTTCTTTGCTTCCTGGCGCAGAATTGAAAATGAACAGAAAGGAGATGTGTCTCGTTTGGCTGGGATATTTTTTTGGTCAGGGTGTCTTGAAGGGCTCAATATCTTTATTGAGGTTGAATCATCTTGCGGAGACAGCAGTCATGCAGAGCATCTTTCTAGCAGAGGTTGCATTGTCGACTCCTTGCCCAGCATGGTCAGGAAGGAAATCTGAGACAGGAGCCCACAGCACTGTGCTGCCTCTGCTGCCAGGGCATGTTTTTGGGCAACCACTTCATACATGGGTCTCCATAAAATTCAGAGTGGATAAAATGATCTATAATATACTTTTGTTTTCCTTCTTTATAAACAATTTTTGATTTGTCATGGCAGCTTCTAATGCCGGGATGGTTTTCCTGCCATTCTACGAGTTGGCCAGCAGGTGGCATCTCCCTTTGCTGATGTGGTATGCCTTTTTAAAAGCAATTTAAGAGTATTACTCAGCACACGCAGGGTTACCTTGTGGTGTTCCCTGATATTTGGGCTCCTGTGTTTATTTTATTTTATTTTATTTTATTTTTTAAGATTTTACTTATTTGACAGATATTGAGAGAGAGCAAGCACAAGCAGGGGAAGCAGCTGGCAAAGGGAGAGAGAAGTAGGCTCCCTACGTAGCAGAGACCCTCCCTCACCCCTTCCCCATCATGACCTGAACCCAAGGCAGACACTTAACTGACTGAGCCACCAGTTTAGAAACATTATTGCCTTTGCTTGGTGCTTAAAGTTTAAGTTTGAAAAATCAGTTATATATATTATATGAAAAATCAGTTGTATATATAAATGGAAGGTATCTTGCATTTCTTGTACTACAAATAAATTTTTTTTCCCTGTTAATACAAGCTGTTATATGTTCTCTGATTTAGTTAGTGAACAACAAAGTGTGGAGTTTCAAAGACTCACATTATTTATTTGATTTTATGAATTAAACAATAATAAATGGGTCCTCTTTAAATGGGCTTTTTAGAAAAATTTTCTTAAGATTTAGTCATTTCTTTTAAAGAGAGAGTGTGCGCGCGTGTGTGTGTGTGTGTGTGTGTGAGCAGGGGGAGGAGCAAAGGGAGAGGGAGAGAGACAGAATCTTCAAGCAGATTCCTCACTGAGTGCAGTGCTTGACTCAGGGCTCAATCTTATTCCATGACCCATGAGATCATGACCTGAGCCCATACCATGAGCCGGACGCTTAAACAGCTGAACCACCCAGGCGCCCCTAAATGTGCTTTTAAGTGACCCAGAGGAACTGTGATCCATTTCTGTTTCAGCCCCTCGAGAACATGATTTAATACTGTTTGTTACTGTGTAGGTGTGCCTGTGGCAAGTTCATGTTAGGTCCTATCTAGGGGTATATGTTCTAAAAGAATTGATCCCATCTGAAGGCCGTTTAAATCTATCTACAAAGTAGATTCTTCTTGTGACTTGGAAATTACATTTGCTTTAGGACACTGATGAGGACCACAGTCCTAGAGGGTCTTGTCTCTCATTTCAGGATTCATATATTTTCCAGCATCGTGACATTTACCAGATTCCCCAGGAAGGAATATTATTGCAGTTCCTTTGGTGGGCTACTTAAATAACAGGATAACAAGCTGGTTTTGTATTTATTGTTATGTGTGGTGTTGCTATTGGTGGCTGTGCTCTACTTTTGCTATTTATCATGGTCTTTGAAATTGTAAGAAACAGCAAGCAGATTTCTAATGGGAAGGGTCTACTTGTGCCTGGTAAATTTCACTACATTTTAAAATTCTAAACCAGGTGTGGACATCCAAAGATGACCTGTGAGGCTGTTGCCAGGCACCCGCTGGTGAAAGGACAACATAGGCAAAGGGTGGGGGCCACGGGGACTCTGGAAGCTCCCCCCTTACCCAGAAATAGTTGTAGAGGAACATGGTATTGCTGGTGCGAGTCCTTAGGAACCAGATTACTATTTCCCAGTGGGTTCCAGTATGTAGCCAATTGGTACCTCTATCTTCTACACAGGGATAGTAGGGCAGGTCTCTGTCTGGTACTTTCCAGTGTCCTCAGAAGAGGCAGTCCCTAGAATGTGGTAGATCAGAACTGATTCCTGGGATAGATGTTCAGTGGAGTAGGAAGTGTCACACCACAAATAAGCTTTGTACTACCAAGTATTCTCCACAGCCTATGGAGGAGAAGGTTGGTGCCTTCATGAAGATAATAGAAGCCATGGGATTTACAGGACCTTTGAAATACAGTAAATGGAAAATTAAGGTTGTAGCCCTGCGCAGGTATACTAGCTGTGTGGAGAAAGCTGACTTTGAGGAATTCTTTCTAAGGTGTCAGATGCCTGATACATTCAATTCATGGTTTCTTATGACTCTGCTTCACATCTGGGTGTGTCTAGTCCAAATGAAGCAGGAAGGGCAGAGTGGGAAATTCTTATGTGGGATCATAGTTCATTTTATGTGGGATGATGTTGCAGTGTGGAAGAGTCATGGGGCTTAGGATCATCTAAAGCAGAACTATCAGATGGGGTCACAAAATGGGTTAATGTGGTTTTTTCCATTACGATGTTCTCCCTACAGAGTGAGGAATGAATAGAGTTTATATATGTATTATAAAAGTCATACATGTTCATAGACTAAAAAACCAAACAGTAAAAAGCATTTAATGTAAAGACAAGTGTCCTTTCCCCATTCCCCTCCCAAAAGTAACCATTTTTTTTTTAAGATTTTATTTATTTGACAGAGAGAAAGATCACAAGTAGGCAGAGAGGCAGGCAGGGAGAGGGGGAAGCAGGCTCCCCGCTGAGCAGAGAACCCAGTGCAGGGCTCGATCCCAGGACCCTAAGACCATGACCTGAGCTGAAGGCAGAGGCTTAACCCACTGAGCTACCCAGGCGCCCCAGAAGTAACCATTGTTAAGAGTTGATGTGTATCTTTCTAGTTGTTTCCTATATAAGTGTAAATTATAAATATGTGTCCTTTAACATAACACAAATGGGCTTAACCATGCAGTTTTGCATCTTGGCTTTTTAACTGAATACATACTAATTTTTTTTTTTAAGATTTTTTTTAAAGTAATCTCTACACACAACCTAGGGCTCAAACTCAGGACCCTGAGATCAAGAATTGCCCCAATAACTGAGACAGCCAGGTGTCCCTATATGAGATATGCTTTTACTTTATGATTGTTTTTAAAATTCAAAATATTTTAACTAAGACAGAAATCCCTTTAATCATGAATCTCATTGATAACCTAGTCAGTTACCTCTTTTCAGGTGGTAATCAACTGTTTCCACTCCGGTGTATATCTTTAAAAGCTTTCTTCTGTATTATCTATAGAAAATATATAATACTGGTTTTGTGTGTGTATATTTGATTATACATATCATCCTGTGTACTAATATGCACTCAATATGTACTTAATTTTTTTTCACTCGACAGTATGTCTTGGAGATTTTTTTCATGCTACATGGGAGTTAAGTGGGAGGTCGTCACCACATTGTATTTGTTATAATTATTTTCACACACTCCTATGTCATTATCAAATGGTATCCTGTGCTTACTCTATGTATAAAATTGTGGTCTTTGAGGCTAAATCAAGGAGGTGATGGTTTCCTACGGAGAGGATATTTCCAAATTCTCATGTCTTTGGAGGAATTGTATATATAGGAACCACAGTGGACATGTGTTCATCTTAAGATGTTTTCAGTGACATTTACATGCCTTTCTCTGGGACAGCAGACCATTGGCATTTCTGTTCATTCTAAAAGGAAGATAGTGTATGTCAGAGTTTTAGCTCCTATATAGCAGCGTCATCATCATTTGTTTTGGAGTCAGTGAGTACTGACTGTCTTTGTAAGTGTGTTCTTTGGTTTCTTGTTCATTTTTTTTCACTATCAGGCCTTTCTGCTATCTTTGCTACCCAGAGTGGGTCAGCAGCCTTGAAGCTATTCATGTAGCTGAGTGTTCCACATGCCCTCAGGTACTTACTATCCAACTCTGGCAGCACCCAGTGGATATAGGGTGGTACTGCTAGTACCAAATCACTTAATGACAACCAGAGACACCCCCTGGCCAGCCAAAGCTTTAGCTGACTGCCATGCAGTGGCACAGTAGCTCTTCTAATTAGCCTGTTTTTTCTTGTCACCATTGACTAAACTTGCCTGGACGTTAGACTGCTAGAGCCATGTGGGCACATGGCTTCATTAAGTTACTGACTCTTAAACCTCAGGAACCTCTTAGTTATCACCCCCCACCATGAATTTCCTTTGGACCTCCATAAATATCTCCATCATGATCTCCAGCACTTTGAACCTTCTGTGTTACTTTATAATGTTAGTTCCACTTGACTACATGCTTTGTAAAGCCAGGAGACCTGTCAACCACATGTTTTTGCTTACATAGTAAAGCAAAACACTGAGTGAATAAATACTTGTTGAATGAATGAATAAATTGAATTTCAGCCTCTGAAATTCTGTTTTAAAGCCCCCCCCCCCAAAAAAAATGAGCTGTGACAACCTCTTTTCTGTGAAACTTCTCTGTTAAGCCACTAGATAAGGCTTTCCTTTCTACTACAGCCTCTGTCAAAACTTGGGAATATCATAAAGTTTGATTATTGTTTTAATTAGTATTATTAAAAACCAAGCTTTGGTTTTCTTTTTTACTATGATAAATCTAGTCGTAGTTTACAGTTATAACATTTCGATGAACCACTATCATTATTTAAGAACTATTAGGTTAAACCAAATTGTCCACATTTGGCCATTTATTTTTACCCCCAAAACAGCAGTTACAGACAGTTCAACCCAACACTGTTCATTGAGATCTGGTGTTGTAAGAACTGTAGAGATACGTAGTGACACTCCCCACCCGCCCCCAGGAGGTATAGGGGCCATCATTTGAAATGCAGCTTGCCTTCATTCACTTAGCATCTATTTATTGAGCATTATTGTCTGATAGACATGCTAGGCTCAGGGACATAATGGTGAGTGAAACTCTCATACAACCTGCCCTCGCAGAGCTTACATTTTAGTGGGAGAATAAATGCATTGATCAGATCATCCCACAGGCATGTATATGTGACAGCTCTGACAAATGCTCCAAAGGAATCTATCCCAGATGTTTTCTATATGTGTTTATGTATTTGTAAAAAGAGGGCCACAGTGTGTCTTTCATGTATTTTTGTTAATTTAATATTTCATGAAGAAATTTCCATATTGATACTATCTGTCATTATCTTTTTTTTTTTTTCCAGGAGGCTCCACCCCCCCAACGTGGAGCCCAACACAGGGCTTGAACTCACAACCCTGAGATCAAGGCCTGAGCTGATATCAGGAGTTGGACCCTTAATCAACTGAACCACCCAAGCACCCCATCATTATTATTTTTTTTTTTTAAGATTTTTTATTTATTTATTTGTCAGAGTGAGCAGAGGCAGACAGAGTGGCAGGCAGAGGCAGATGGAGAAGCAGGCTCCTGCTGAGCAAGGAGCCTGATGTGGGACTCGATCCCAGGACGCTGGGATCATGACCTGAGCCGAAGGCAGCGGCTTAACCAACTGAGCCACCCAGGTGTCCCCCCCCATCATTAATCTTAGGGTAGTAGTATATTATATTTAACCACTTGCCTTGTTTCTAATTTTGCCTCTGTTATAAATAATACTCAGAAAATTTATTGGGGGAGCATATTAGTTAGAGTAGGCTGACCAAAAGACCCAAACCATAATTGTTTAAACCCAGAAATGTCAGGGTGCCTGGGTGGCTCAGTCGGTTAGGCTTCGGCTTGGGTCATGAACCCAGGGTCCTGGGATCGAGCCCTGCACCAGGCTCTCTACTCAGCAGGAAACCTGCTTCTCTCCTTCTGCCTGCCCCTCTGTCTGCTGCTCTGCTTACTTGTGCTTTCTATCAAATAAATAAACAAAATCTTAAGAAAAATAATAAGCCCAGAAATGTCCGTTTTTCACACATTGTCAATGTGCTTTGTAGTCCAGACTTGGCTAATATTGGTTGTGGCCCCTTTAGCCTGAGGCCTCAGAGGTAAACAAGTTCTATAAACCAAGTCATTTTTGGTCTTGGTCATTGTACTCGTACCTGCAGAAAGTGGGGGCTGAGGCATTATGGCCAAGTCTGTCTGTTTCCAGTCAGCTCTGAGGAGCCATACCCAAAGCTTTAACATGGTTCCCTAAGCCTGTTTGGTTTGTTGTTCTGTCTTTGTGCCTCCCTTTTAAGTCATTACTTGGGACTTCCTTGAAGCTATGGGCTTAGTGGGAAGGGAACACCTGTAGACTGTTGTTTGCATAATGCCAGCTTCCTCTTTAGGACTTAACTGGGAAAACCTTGAAATAAGGCAGAGCTCTATAGACCCACCACCTGTTTAGTACACCCACAAGTTAAGATTGGTTTTACAGGGACACCTGAGTGGCTCAGTCAGTTAAGCAGCTGCCTTCTGCTCAGGTCATGATCCCAGTATCCTGGGATTGAGTCCCACATCGGGCTCTTTCCTTGGCAGGGAGACGACTTCTCCCTCTGCCTCTGCCTGCCACTCTGCCTGCCTGTGCTCTCTCTCTCTCTGACAAAGAATAGGTTTTACGGGGTGCCTGGGTGGCTCAGTGGGTTAAGCCTCTGCCTTCGGCTCAGGTCATGATCTCAGAGTCTTGGGAACAAGTGCCGCATCAGGTTCTCTGCTCAGCGGGGAGCCCGCTTCCCTCTCTCTCTCTGCCTGCCTCTCTGCCTACTTGTGATCTTTCTCTCTGTCAAATGAATAATGAAAATCTTTAAAAAAAAAAAAAAAGAATAGGTTTTGCATTTTTTAATCACTGTTGGGGAAAAAAGCAGTTCATGACACATAAAAATCACGTGAAGTCAAAATTTCATTGTCTACAGATAAAGGTTTTGGAACATAGACATGCTGCTTTTGTGGCACTGCAGGAGAGCTAAGTTGTTGCAACAGATCGTATGGCTCACAAAACCTAAAATATTTATAATTTGGGCAATTACAGAAAAGTTTGTCAGACACCTAGTTTAAAAGGTTGTTCAAGCTTACGTTTTGCTGTTTGGGATATAGAGGTCATTGGCCTTTCTAGTCTTACGAGGCCCTATCACTGGACTTTGCCTATTCCTTTTATAATTGCCTACAAACAAGCTAATTCTTTCCCGAGTTCTTCTGTCTCACAAAACTTTGCTGCCATAGAGCTTCTCTGGGAGTTTCTGGCTCCAGTAGGGATGTGTTTGTGTTCTGCCCTCTGAGTTGTCATATGCTTGATTTCACTCTGTGTTATGCCACAGGGTTTCTAGCTTTCCAGCCTGCAACTTGTTTCCTCTCCACTTGACTGTTAATTTAGCACCACACATTTTAGACTGAAGGCAACATCCTTATTCTAGATGACACTTAAGGTATTAAGGAGGAAATTCTGTGCTGCTGTGGTAAGCTGTAGATCTAAAATGCTTCATATGTCTCTAAAATAACCATCCAGTGTCACTGTCCTGGGTTTGGCAGCAGTGGGTACATGGTGGTTGAAGTATATTCTGCCCTTTGTAGTAATTTAGGAATCAGGCGGACAGCAGTTCTGCTGTCTTCAGTTTTTGGCTTCCACTATCACTCCAGACTTGGTCATTGGCATTCTAGCTCTTGGGAGGGGAAGAGACCTGGAGAAGGGTGCAGTTAGATGGACAGGCCAAGCCTGGAAGAGGCTCACAGCATGCCTCT